TTTATGTCACTTTGTTTATTTAGGTCAAATCTTGCAAATTAATTTAGTACTATTGTTACGGCACACGCACAAACGAAAAATTGTATTTGGCTTTATGTATTTTTTTTATAATAATTTATGTTATCTCGCTTTTTATGTATATTAGTATATGTTGTAATTTGTTTGCTTTAAGTAATGCAAATAAACTATCTGTCTATCTATCTACTACTTCTTGACATCTGATTAAGTTGAATTATTACAAACATGAAGTTCTAATAACAATATACGTATATGAAATACTGAATATTGCATGAATTTCAAAATGGCCACTTTCAAAAGGTGATTAAGTGTTTTTATTTTTAACTGTCCTAATATAAATCTAATGAAAGGGCCTAAAAAGCAGAAAACATTATAACGTTGAGCGCTACCAGAGGGAGACTTTGTACAAAAGTCGATTGCTTGGGTACCTCTGTCCCATTCGTGTTTCAACCGTGAAGCAGTTGTGTTTGCATGGCTGTGTTTCGGTTTGAAAGGTGGGATATGGCGTGAATTTACTGGGTACAGAGGAATAACACCTGAGTCCTCAGGAATGGCAACGCATGGGGGGTATCATGGGCGAAACAGTATACTCTGTTATGTCCATGGTACTGCTCATGTCTATAGGCGACGGTTACCACTTTCCATCAGGTGGGCCGTCAGCTTGTTTGCCATTCTAAGTTCTATAAAAAAAAAAAAGCCATGTCAGCCATCGGTGGCTGACACTAGACTTTCCGTTTAGGCCGCGTCAGCCATCGGTGTCTGACTGCGTGTAACATGAGAACTATAAAATTTTACACTATTTTACGGAATTACAGAAAACAAAACAGACTTGGTGCGTAACGTATTCAATGAACGCCTATAGGAATCACGTTCCAAACGTAAACTACCTTCCATACGATAGGAAACACCAGCTCCTGCAGTACCAGCGCTTCGAAGCGGCGCGCGTGGCCTGAACGGGACTGCTCTAGAAATACGCGTGGCGCTCAACGTGTTAAAGTAAATGATATTACACTAAATTCAATATGGCCGCTGCTTCAAGATCACAGATTACATTACAGGTAGACTTGTTTGATTAGTAAATTAAATTAGTAGCTTCGATTAAATAAGAAACTCTATAGACTGCAAAAAAAATCCTTAACCACATAATCACATAACTATCACGCCATAAGAAAAAAAAACTAAAAAGTGTTTATTACTAAAAAAGAAATAACTGAAAAAAGAATCAAAAGTATCATTTATACTAGAGCTTGTATCTAGTTATGTTATGGAAAATCCGCATTACCATCAATCCTCAAACTAGGTCAGACTTGTATCTTGAGGGTAAGAGGAATCTACTAGCAAGATATATATACTATATCACTTGGCCATGTGGTCCCGGTGTAGAATAGGCCACCCTTTCCTTTCCCGTGAGTGTCGTAAGAGCCGACTGGGGGAGGGTGAGGGATGGGCAGCAGCGTACCTCTTAAAACATCTCGAAAGCCTGACTGCGGTTGCCAATCCGCCTGCTAAGCGTGGCAACTACTAGCAAAAACCCCCAAGGGGGAGGTTTATGTCCGGTTGACAGTTAAAAGCTGTGATGATGATTATACTATATTACTAACAACAAACAGAGGGAGACTTTGTACAAAAGTCGATTGCTTGGGTACCTCTGTACCATTCGTGTTTCAACCATGAAGCAGTTGTGTTTGCATGGCTGTGTTTCGGTTTGAAGAGTGGTATATGACGTGAATTTACTGGGTACAGAGGAATAACACCTGAGTCTAACTTGTATAAAAAAATCAATAGAGAACATCTGGCTAATAAACACATGTTCGAAAGTCGCTTAAAAAGCCTGCAATTGCAAATAAAAAAAAAAAAAAACTCCATAAATCCAGCAAAACAACAAGAATATCAAGCAACCAGGGATAGCCAAATCAGCTCCGGTGACATTTCAATTTGTATAAAATAATGGGGCCATTGTAAGTCTACGGGCACGCTCCCAGAAACTGACGCGCATACAAAATGGCCGAAGCTCAAACCGAATTTGCCTACCGAGCCCGACTATCAAACATAGAACCAACTCTTTATTGCGTTATAAATGAAGGCCATTTCTATTAAACATCGCAAAGGTCAAGGAAACTTATGTGGTGGGCGGAAAGAAATTGTTAGTAATAGAATCAAATAGCCCCATTACTGGAAAAATACCCTGTCAGGTCGACCTCCACGTAGTTCCCCCTGGAAACCATCGCGGCTAATTCTAGTTGAATTCGTCAGGATGGGCTAACTGACCTGCTTTCATCCTCATTAGTCATCTATCACTAGTGTCCCGCCGTTGTATACCGATAGTGCAGACAGGGTTACCATACCATTATCACCCATTTAAAAAAACTTATGTGGTGTTATTTTAAAGGTAAAAATCAGAAATAAAATCATTTTAATTAATTTCTTTTGATTCTTTATTTATAATTTAATTTAATTTATAATTTTATTTTTATTCTTTATTAGGTAATCAAATGTACAAAGGCGAGCTCAAATCTAATAGAGTTTTCTTCCAGCAAACCCAAAGTGGAAAGGAGCATCAATGTCAGCGGGTACAGCGGTGTACAATATTGTGAAAAATTTTAAAAAATATATACCTACATATATAGATAAATAAATATATATTCATAAAAATAGAATACACTCTTTAAGTCTACTCTTAAAAATATGAAGGGATTGACTTTCGCGGATAGGTATGAGAAGAGAAATCCACCAAAATCAGCTATAATTTTGGTTTTATTTTGTTACCACTTAAAAAGTCTTCTCAATTTGTGTATTTTTTTTCTCTATATCTTCTTTGATTTTGAACATTTCGTATATAAATTCATAAATAAGGGAAAACATCCTAGTGGAAGCGTTTTATAAGGAAAAATTCTGTCAGTCAAGAAGAACCAACTTGGCATCGGCTTTGTGACTTCTCTCTGCTGTAGATGGTCAGCAGTTCTTCCTCAAATCGAATGTGCACGTAAACATAATTTTTTACAGGTCCTTCAAGGCACATACAGTTTAAAACACTCAAATCATAAATTTCATAAGAGCAAGCGTTCGCGCACACACCTCCATCCAGTCGGTACTTTTATTGAAGTTAAACTAAGGTGAAAGGAAAACAATATTGACGGACGCCAATATTATAAACAAGTTTTTGGGTATTGCACCCAAAATCATAACTGTATATTTTTTTTTATTAAGTATAATATTGTTAAGACACGTGTCTTAATTATCTTAATACACAACTAAATCAATTAGTTTTCCGTGAAAGTTTAATGTTCATTAATTTACAGTTTATTTCTCATCAGTTAAATGGTAACTTATCTAAAGCAATACAGTTAGATTCGAGTGAGAATTCGTACCAAGCTGTTTCAGATGTTCTTGTTTATTTTCAATTTCTTATTAAAAGTTCTCGTTCGTTGATGTGAGTCCTTTGTTAAATTTTAGATTTTATCGGAGGGACCATTGTTTTTTATATAAGTCGTTTTTTTTAAAGTATTATATTGGCTGACCACAAAATGATGGTGAGAAGGGATTGTTAGTAAAGGGGACAAGTGGCCCCATTACTAGATATATATCTGATCCGACTGATCTCTACAAGTTTCACCTTGGAATATATTGTGGTTAATTTTTGATGAATTCATAACCTGTTTCTGTCCTTACCTGTCATCCTTTACTGGTACCTCGCTAATGTATACCGATAGTGTAGACGGGGTGATTCATTTCATATTCATCCCATAAAGATTCCCATTTATCGTATGATTATGGCATAGAATGGGGCATCCCTTCCTTTTCCGTAGGTGTTGTAAGAACCGATTAAAATATCTTAATGGTCGAGGGATAGGTAGCAGCGTCCCTCTTATCATCAAAGCCTAACTGCGGTTGCCAATCTGCCTGCCAAGCGTGAAAACTACTGGCAAAACTCTCCTTCGTGGCTATGCCCAGCAGTGGACAGATAATGGATGATATGATGATGATGATGAATGATTCCTAAACAGTAGTAAGTATATAGAAGCACCCGTTCATAGGATGCTCGCGTATTTTTCCGTCGTTTTATTTTGGCCCTTAAGTACGATGAAATAATAACTTCTTAAAAGGAAATTACTTTCAGTATAGCCTATTTTTACCATTTTAGACAATCTAATTTTCCAAACGTAATTTAAAAGCTTATTTTTTTTTGTAAAAGTAAATTGAATTTTATTTTGTTCGAAGGTCTGATGACAGTGATTAGTGAACACTGATATAATATTTATTTACTTATTTATTAGTACAAATATGTGTACATAGCGGACATAATGCTAAAAGCATTCTCTCCCAGTCAACCATAGGGAAGTGTCAGAATACTTGATATATAAACGATTAAATATATATATAAATAACAAGTATACTCACACATATAAAATGTACTATATTATACACGAAATCAAAATATAATATAAGGTACTTACGTATATATATATATATATATATATATATATATATATATAGTATGTAATGAGCTTTCTGCCGGGGATTTCCAAAACTGCAATATAGTTTTCCAAAAAGGGTGTATTAAAGATTTCTTCAGGGTTAAAACGATAGTTTACCCCTAGTTTTAAAACGATACAACATACGATGTATCTTGAACTTTACTTTTATAACAAATAAATTTCATTTCATTTCATTTCATTTCAAAGCAAAGGCCGTATGGTTCCAACATAGAAGAGGCCATCCCTTCCTTTTCCGTGGGTGTCGTAAGAGGCGACTAAGGGAGGGTCAACGATGGGCAGCAGCATTCCTTTAAAAATATCTCCAAAGCCTAACTGCCGTTGCCAATAACAACAAGGGGGAAGGGGGATAACAAGAGGGAGGCTTATGTTCAGAAGTGGACAATTAAAGATTAATATGATAACATATTACAAAATAATCTTAAACTTATTTACAAAATAATCCATCAGTGAAGAGGAAAAATAATAAATAGATTTATGTAAGTTGCAATCTTTTATTCTCTCTTTAAAATTTAAAGCAATGAACTTCGATCAAAAAATCTTATAAATACATACAATTATCGTTCAATATACAGGTATAGATTCTTTTTAACTCTTATTTAAGAAATAATATACAATTTATTAAAGAATTAATATTAACTATTTGATAAATATAAAAAAAAAAATGCATATCAGAGCTACTTACGCAACCACACTAGTGAAACGTGTTATTCAGTTATTTTTCTTTTATCTATATAAATCAAAATTAAATGCTATTTGCAGGTAAGAATATCACTTGGAAATGATTGGACAGATTTGATTATTTTTGTATTACTTTAATTACTTTGGGGGAAATAATTGGAAATTTGATTAGAATGAATCTTAGAATAATAAAAGACAAAGATACATAATAAGATATTTAAGACAATGCCTCGTTCAGTAAAATAATTATAATTTAGACAAGACATCTTCAATATGTTTTACAAACTTGCCTCTTTTAAAAGAATGTAAATTTGAATACAGATAATTTCAACAAAGCTAATAAATTGTATATTTACATAACGTAACGTAAATTTCGTATTTTTTTTTAGATTTAAAATAACTCGTATTACAACATGTTTTTTTTTTAACTTTGTTAAATATCTAATAAACTTTACATAAAGTAACTAAAAATACAGATTTAGAGGAATCTAAATTTGTCAGCAAAGCTGAATAAATAGTTCCTTTATTTTTAAATAAAAAAGTATTTGAAAATTTTTAAATACATGAAAAAATTAAGATTAAAAATTATTATTGTAGTATTATAATACCGTAGATCATATAGGTACCTCAACATGAAGCGTTGAGTATCAAAGAATTGGTAAAAAGGAAATGGCTGACTTTTGGCTCACGCATATATTTTTTTCAAACAAAACTGAGCGTGTCATTTCTAGGGTGTGTATTTTTCAAAAAGAACTGAGTACTACTTATATTTATATAAATAAACTCGTGTACATACAAATTAATATATACGTACTATTTAAAATTGAAGCAATATTAAATATGAAAAATAATCTAATAATGATATTGGTCATTAATCGTAGAATCTGATTGATATCGTGATGATCATGATAAAGTCATGATGTGGTTAAATTAATATCTAGAATTGATGATATCGTATACACTCTAATCAGTCCTATTTTCTATATTCAATGAAATACTGAATACAACATAATTATTTCTCTACATAATAAACTAACTGAATGACAAAAACATTATATTAACATCTATTTAACTGATATGTTACGTAATAGATTTTATCGTTCATTTATACACACAAAACAATTGAAATTCTGTACATTATACTTAAAGATTATTTTTACAGGGCAGTAAATTCAGTAGAGAAAGTCGACAGAGGCGTGGATAGATCATTGTCTTTATCTACTCCTACATTATCTGCGTTAGCATCTGGAAGAGACCAAGTTGAGCTACCAGCAGCAGTGATTCTAGGGCCCATATTATCGTAGGCCGATTTTAGGAAACATGTTCTACTTCGTCTAGGCAAAGTGGCTCCTCCCCCTAATAAATCTGGATATTTATCGTTATGGGCAGCAACTTGAACTGATATAAAGATATTTCCATAGGGAGCTGGTAAAGCAAACTCTGCTGGAGGTGGCGGAAATGTTCCTGGAGGGCCTTCTATTGTTATTTGCACTGGTTCAAGACATCTTTGCGTATCTTCACTCTCTAAAGACATAGATCTGTCCAACATTTCAAATCCATAAGAGGATCCTAAGTCAGCACTAGTCCTGTCACAACTAGCTGCCAATGATGTATCTAATAACTTCTTCTCTTGGTCAGTAAAACTCCTGCTTGGTGGCATTCTTCGACGTTTAGTTTTCCAGCATATACAGGCGGCTATAAAACCTACACTAGTCATGGCTATCATAGAACCAGCTAAAATGAAGAAGGTCGAGTAGTCTGGTGCAACACGAGCAGTAGCTGTTCGAGCTTTTGGTAAGAATAACGTCAAATAAGCAGATGCTTCACCTACAGGGCTCTTTGCACTACACTTCCACTCACCAGATAAGTCACTAGTTACATTAGTTATAGTTACATTAACCCACTGTGCACTCTTGTTTATAAAGTCATCTCTATATTCATCGAAATATTCTGCTTGATATTTATAAACTAATATATCACTATGTTTATATGTTTTGTTATGAATTTCATTGTGATGAAAAGTCCATGTAATTGTGGGCTTTGGGTCACCTCGTACAAAGCATCCAAAAGAGATTTCTGCTCCTGCTTCTGTTCTTATAACAGATGGAGTAGAATACGCGGAAGGAGGACACACCATATCAATACCTTTCAAGGTGCGCCAGGATTTATGCGTTTTTTTCTCGGGACCTTCACAAAATACCTCCTCATTTCCAAGATTACTATGCAAAAACCATTCGTGAAAGTCTCTTAATCTACAATCACAGTACCAAGGATTATCAGAAAGCGTTAACGTTTTTAATACTGGAAGGTTGAATGTATTTGGATGCAAATATGAAAGTTGGTTCTGATGAACATGAATTGTTTCCAGTGCTTGCAAGTTCACAAAGGCAAATGGGTGAATATTTTGAAGTTTACATCTCGAGAGTTCTAATTTCTTCAAATGTTGTAGCACAGGGAACTGCTCTACTACTAACGATGACAAAGGATTATCGTTCAAAATTAATAGCCTTAATCGGTCGTTGCCTCTGAAAGTGTCAGGTGACAATTGAAATAATTCGTTTTGAGACAGATCCAGTTCTATTAGTATACGCAGTTCTCTGAACGTATCTGAATGTAGAGAACGGAGATTTGTCATACTTAAATTCAGTCGTTGTAAATTCAATAATTCTATATTCGCAAATGCATCTTGGCCTAAAGTTTTTAAGGAGTTTCCGTGCAAATCGAGAACTTGAATTTCGGCTGCCAAATGAGGAAGTTCTTTTAACCCCGCCGAGACGCATGACGCTGTTTTCTTGCCAGAAGACCATTTGCAGATACACACTGATATATCACCGCAGCTGAGCCAATCGCTTCCGGTTAGATTTATCACTAGTAAAATCAACCAGCATCCACATCGAAGTACTCGAATGCCCATTTCATAGCAGAGGCCTGTTTACCTGAAACAAAATAAAAATAATTGTTTAACGGTATCCTTCAAATGGATTAATTCTTTTGTGGTCATTGGATAAAGACGTTCCGTGATGTTGAAGTAATTAATAAAAGTCACTTAAGCATGTTATATCTCAGTGACCTATCTATGGAACGTGCCTAATGAAGATCAGACGTAAGATAAGGACTTGTTTAATTACGAGGGAGCACAAAGGGCTCTGTGAAGATGTTGGTTATGAGAAGCAGTTGTTCAAAGGGTGCAAGCTTTGAGTTCTCTGTAATGTCGGTTTGCGGTATTGCGTATTAACATTCGAGCGGTTTTCGGTGAAATATGGGGCTCTTTACGATGGAGTAACCGTTAATAATGTATGTATTGGTGCTTATAGTTCAATAGGCAACTAGATTCTGTTATGTTACTGTTTATAGTAGTGTATGTTATTGTAGTATACATGTTTATATACTTCCTCATGTAACAATAGTTATTGCTTATATTACTTGAAACGGGAAATTATTGTATGGTTTTCTTTTGTTCAATTTTTAGTGGCTTCTTTTAAATATTATAGAAAAATATTTCGAACCTCGTACTGGAATCATAAAAAATCACTAATTTATATGTATATCATCATTATCACCAAAGGTTGACTGGAAGAGAATGCTATATATTATAGTATTAAGTCCGCCTTTTGTACCAGACTTTTTTTTATTGACCAAATTATTTCATTATTTTTATTCTTTATTGACCAAATTACAAATCCCAAAGAGGGTTGACGTCAGCCAGGTGGCCGGTCGTAAAACTAAAAACCAAATCTTTTTGTAATATGGATAAAATCATATTACGCCGACCCCAAATGATTGGGATAAGGGTAGGAAGATGATGATGATGATTGACCAAATTACAAAAATTTTGTCAATAAAGAATAAATAAATAAATCATCATTTTTTTACGAGACAGGCTTTGTTTAGTGTGGGGTCATAGCTATATTGTACCGTAGGCGAATTTTTTTTAAAGACAATAATTTATTATTATTATTATTTCAGCCATTATCTGTCCACTGCTGAATATAGACCTCCTCTATAGACTGCCATATAAAACGGTCCTGAGCCATCCGCTTTCATTAGCTTCCTGCAATGCATTTGAGGTCGTCACTACATCTAGTTGTTCTACATTGTATTTGTTCGTACCGTACCGTTACTATACCGTTCCCATCGGTTGTTGGTTCTTCAAGCCATATGACCAGCTCATTGCAACATCAGCATGCTTATTTTTATATGTATTTACATTTACTTAAATATATATTAGTTTCCATTATTGCTATAAGAGATAATCTTAATTTTCCATAATAACTATTTTTAATGTATTTAAACAAACAAATTATTTTGCTTTTTTGTGCCATCTGTCTAAAAGCTATGTCGTTAGAGGCCTTCATATCCTGTAATTTCACTGTCATTATATTTTTAAACGGAAATTAAACCATTTAATTAGAGTTGCTCCATGGCAAAAAACGTAGGATAAGGGTACAACCTGACCTTTGTAAGATGTCTCTCTGGTCTTTCTCTTTATTATAACCGTTGGGAACATCAATCAGCAATTAGTAATTGTATTTATAACAAAATATGGTTATTAGTTATCATTTCTTAATTTATTTATACTTTATTGACTACATTACAAAAAAAAAAATTACAAAAGGCGGACTTAATTCTATATAGCATTCTCTCCCAGTTAACCTTTAGCAAAACAGAATTTTAATTATGGGGTGAAAAAAATTTAAAATTGTTGCAGATAAACAATTATACGTACGTATAATACTATACGTACTATATATACTTACAAATCACAACATATACAGTGGAGAACTACTGGACATTATATATATATATATATATATATATATATATATATATATATATAGAGTTCAAGTATAGTGCCAGAGGGAGACTTTGTACAAAAGTCGATTGTTTGGGTACCTCTGTCACATTCGTATTTCAACCGTAAAGCAGTTGTATTTCGGTTTGAAGCATTTGTTTGAAGTTTGAAGGTTTATGGCGTGAATTTACTGGGTACAGAGAAATAACACCTGAGTCCTCAGGAATGACACCGCATGGGGGGTATCATGGGCGAAACAGTATACTCTGTTATGTTCATGGTACTGCTCATGTCTATAGGCGACGGTTACCACTTTACAACAGATGGGCCGTCAGCTTGTTTGCCATTATAAATTGTATAAAAAAAAATGTATAATTAAATTTATCAAAATAAAAGTTATATACCTCTAATCTCCAAATACAGTAATGAAACAAACTAATAATTAACCCCAAAAATCTTCAAAGCATTTCTCGTGAAAGGCTAAAGAATATTTATTAATATTGAAGCTAAAATTAGCTTTGAGGCTCAGACATCGTTTACTGTGGTGGAGAGGCTAACCGTGCCGACGTTCAATAAGGACGTATTCGTAATAAGTTTAGAAATTATTCGTGATCTTTTAAATACGAGCGGTAAATTTTATTGAAGCCGTATTCAATATCGTTTCATTGGAATTATTAAAATGGCAAAAGTAGTCAATGTAAAATAAATATTGGAAATAAAATAGAGGAACATAATGTTATTGGAATTATAAGAAATAAGAACGTTTAGGAAAATTAATATTTATTGGATATAAAGCTTAGAACAGGTATTTATAGATTTCAATTGTCTAGGCATATATTACTTCCCATTAAATAGACCTACGATATCCACTCTAATATTTTTAACAATATTTTTAGACATAATTATATCCCATTAAAGATTATAGTACCCACACCTTTATGGGGGAGGCTTATGTTCAACAGTGGACGGTCAATAGCTAAGATGATGACGATGAAAGATGACAGTCGTAAGATTATTTATTTATTTTTATTTATATAATAAAATTTTGATAGTATTATAAAAATATTTTGCTACATTATCACAGTACTCGCCCAGTTTCACATTTCAATATATGCTCAAAGTTCCGCCAAGTGCAAATAACTTTTTTTATTTTTATTAAAAATAAATATGAACATAAAATATCTAGTGTCATAGTACCTCAATATGACCCGGACATTGTGTGTGAACATATTTTTAATTTAATTGAACATGAAGCTAGCAGTGAATTTAAAACAAAAACATTTTCAACTAGTGTAAAATCAAAGTTTTGTGACTGGGCCACGTTTGGTATTTATAAGTCTAGGGCTAATCTTTACGAACTTTACGAAAAACGAAGCTATATATCCGATCCCTTATTTCATGAACATGTAAAATCTTATTCGAAAATATTTAAAAAGGTTTGTCATACAGCTAAGTCTCTCTATTTAGGTAAAATAATAACTAAATCTAAAGATAAAATAAAAGCCACTTGGAAAGTAATAAATAGCGAAACTGGAAAAGTTAATTTTCAAAATAGCAAAATAGCTTTAAATATTAATAACAAATTGGTAAATTCCGACACAGAGGTCGCGCATACATTCGAATCTTATTTTACTAATATTCCATTAATTACGACACAGGCTCTAAAATCTTCCCCGTCTGCTGCTGAAACTTTACTAACAGACAATGTTAGCAAGTCATCAGCTGTATTTAACTTTAGACATACATCATCAGTAGAAATAATAAAAATATTCAAACAGCTTAATAATAAAAAAACAGAGGATCTATGGGGTATATCTGTTAAAATACTGGATAGTATAATGGAAATTATTGCGCCCTCTCTTGCTTTTATTTTCAATAAATGTATAGATGAAGGTAAATTTCCTAACATAATGAAAATTAGTAAAATCATACCGCTTTTTAAATCTGGAGATTTAAATTATAGACCTATATCCATACTCCCAGCACTCAGTAAAATTTTTGAAAAAATAATCCTTATGCAACTTGTCAGTTATTTCAATTTAAATAATTTAATCCACAATAGTCAATTCGGTTTTTCCAAAGGTCGTTCAACTACAGACGCAGGTGCAGAGTTGCTTAGACACGTATTTGCTGCATGGGAAACTAAAATGGATGTGATAGGTGTTTTTTGTGACCTTTCTAAGGCTTTTGATTGCGTTGATCATAATACATTGCTAAAAAAACTTGCTTTTTATGGCGTCAAAGACAATGCTTTAAATTTAATAAAATCTTATCTATCTGATAGAATACAGAAAGTGAAGATTAGCAACGCTACGTCTGACGGGTCACTTGTGCAAATGGGTGTACCACAAGGATCTATTCTCGGTCCATTTTTATTCCTAGTTTACATTAATGATCTCCCATATGCCATGCAGGATAGATGCGGCATAGTATTATTTGCAGACGATACTTCATTGATTTTTAAAGTTAATAGAATGACTAATAATTATGACGATGTAAATAGTGCTTTGCGGCGTCTTGCACTGGTTTACAACTAACAATCTTATGTTAAACGCTAAAAAAACAAAATGTGTTAATTTCTCTCTATCTAAAAGTTTTAATACTAATTGCAATATTAAATTAAATGACGAATCTCTCGAATTTATAGAATCTACTGTCTTTCTAGGAATCACACTAGATAATAAAACACAATGGGGTGCACAAATTCAAAGCCTTGCAGCGAAACTAAGTTCAGCAGCTTTTGCCGTGCGTAAAGTTAGACATACACTGATACTGATACTGCTAGATTAGTCTATTTTAGTTATTTTCATAGTTTACTCTCTTATGGAATATATATATAGAATATATTCATATTACAAAAACGTGCCGTTCGAGCGATCTACTGTATATATATAAGAGAGAAATTCAAAGAAAATATTCTCACCGTTGCTTCTCAATTTATATATTCAAATATCCTATATGTTCATAAAAATCTTGACTTATTTCCAAAAAACAGCAATATTCATAATATTAATACTAGATTTAAAGACAAACTTGCTGTCCCCAAGTATCGTTTAGAAAAAGTTAATAGGTCTTTTATGGGAATAGGTATAAAAATTTACAATAAAATACCAAAGGATATGTTGGAATTACCCTTAAATAAAT